TCCCTGCTGCTACTGCTCTGCCACATGCTAGCGGTCTTATGAATGGACTGTTCCTGACGTCACCACGCCCATAGACCGGATCCGGGCGTCAGGACGGCAGGAACAGTCCACTGCTGGACCTGGGGGAGCACTGTTTTCCAGAGGAACGGAGGATGGGGTAAGTATTCTTTCCCTAAACTCCTGGACAACTCCTGCATGGGAAAATAACATTTTTAACTGGAGTTGACCTGACATCATTTTTATTTTTACATGTTACGTGCATGCATTATAAGTATGCAGGTATTTATTACCTCTTACGTAGAGCACAAAACTCTCCCTGACTATGCCTTCATCTGTCTTTTCTCCAGAAGAATGCCACCATTTTTGCTCAGGCATTATTCAGTGTCGCCATCTACTTTGTGGACTGGTTCAGGGATCACACAATGATGTAAATTTTCGTTCCTGCGTAGGTGTTGACAGTGTTCATAAATACCTGACACAGATCAGCCCACTGAGGCAGCCAAACAGTCTCTTAAACTGTAGGTCAAGGCTGCTTGGTAATGATAAAATGTGTAGCTTACATGATACTATTGTTGTATAGTGTATAGTGACATGTCAGAAATGCATTCATAAAGATGCTCAGAGGTTAATTGCATAAAAACTAGAAAAGCAATGGAAATGCAAAACCTGCTTGTGTCAGGTAAGCAGCAGATCATAAGAAAGTCAACTGCAGGTCACATGCACCTGTCAGTGAATTCTGAATGATCTTAGAAACATCTTAAGCTGGCCATACATTATACTATACAGTGAAAGAAATAAGTATTTGATCCCCTTCTGATTTGAGTGTTTTCCCCACTCACAAAGAAATGATCAGTCTAAAAATCGAATGGTAGGTGTATTGTAACACTGAGAGACAGAATAGCAACAAAAAATTCAAAAGAAATGCATGTCTAACAAATTATGCACTGATTTGCATGTTCATGAGGGAAATAAGTATTTGATCCCCTTCACAAAACATGACTTAGTACTTGGTGGCAAATCCCTTGCTGGCAATCACAGAGGTCAGACGTTTCCTGTAGTTGGCCACCAGGTTTGCACACAACTCAGAAGGGATTTTGGCCCACTCCTCTTGGCAGATCCTCTCCAAGTCATTAAGGTTTGGTGGCTGACGTTTGGCAACTTGAACTTTCAGCTCCCTCCACAGATTTCAATCAGATTAAGGTCTGGAGACTGGCTAGGCCATTCCAGGAACTTAATGTGCTTCTTCTTGATCCACTCCTTTGTTGCCTTGGCCGTGTGTTTTGGGCCATTGCCCTGCTGGAACACCCATCCACGACCCCATTCAATGCCCTGGCATTGCCCCATCCATCGTCACTTTGATGCAGTGCAGTTGTCCTGTCCCCTTAGCAGAAAAACATCCCCAAAGCAGAATGTTTCCACCACCATGTTTGACAGTTGGGATGGTGTTCATAGGCAGCATTCCTCCTCCTCCAAACACGGCGAGTTGAGTTGATGCCAAAGAGCTCGATTTTGGTCTCATCTGACCACAACGCTTTCAACTAGTCCTCCTCTGCATCATTCAGATGTTCAGTGGCAAACTTCAGATGGGCCTGGACATGTGCTTTCTTGAGCAGAGGGAACTTGTGGGCACTGCAGGATTTCAGTCCTTGTCGGCGTAGTGTGTTACCAATTGTTTTCTTCTAGACTGTGGTCCCAGCTGCCTGGAGATCATTGACAAGATCCTCACGTGTAGTTCTGGGATGATTCCTCACTGTTTTCATGATAATTGACACTCCACGAGGTGAGATCTTGCATGGTGCACCAGACCTAGAGAGACTGACAGTTGTTTTGTGTTTCTTCCATTTGCAAATGATTATACAACTGTTGTCACCTTCTCACCAAGCTGTTTGGCGATAGTTTTGTAGCCCAGTCCAGCCTTGTGTAGGTCTACAATCTTGTGCCTGACATCCTTGGACAGCTCTTTGGTCTTTGCCATGGTGGAGAGTTTGAAATCTGATTGTTTGATTGCTCCTGTGGGGACAGGTGTCTTTTATACAGGTAAGAAAATTAGATTAGCAGCACTCCCTTTAAGAGACTGCTTGTAATCTCAGCTTGTTACCTGTATGAAAGACACCTGGTAGTCAGAAGTCCTGCTGAATGATAGGGGATCAAATACTTATTTCCCTCATGAACATGCAGATCAGTGCAAAATTTGTAAGACATGCATTTCTTTAGAATTTTTTGTTGCTATTCTGTCTACAATATGTTACAATGTTACATATGTTACAATGTGCTACAATACACCTACCAATCGATTTTTAGACTGATCATTTTTGTGAGTGGGCAAACATTCAAAATCAGCAGGGGATCAAATACTTATTTCCTTCATTGTGTGTGTATGTGTGTGTATTTTTATTTACCTTCAACTAGGTAGTGCAAGGCCTTGCCTGATTGCATACAAATTGAAAGTGTTTAGGTTTGACTTCGTATTATATGGTTTGGTAAATCTACAGGAAAGTTGTATAATGTATGGCCAGCCTTTGACCAATGGCATCGACACAAGCCTAAGGCCTATCAATAAAGTCCAACATTTAAAGTGGTTCTTAAGACTAAATCATTTTTTACCTTAATGCCTACCCTGTATTAAGGTTAAAAAAAAGTCACTGTCTCAATCCAGCACTCTACTGGTCTACAACAACACTCTCTCTCTTGATCTCTCTCTCCCCCTCGCTCTCTCTCTCTCGCTCTCCCCCCCTCGCTCTCTCTCCCCCCCCTCGCTCCTGTTCCCCTCGCTCTCTCCCCCCTCGCTCTCTCTCCTCCCCCCTCGCTCTCTCTCTCCCTCGCTCTCTCTCCCCCCTCGCTCTCTCTCCCCCCTCTCTCTCTCTCTCTCCCCTCGCTCTCTCTCCCCCTCGCTCTCTCTCTCCCCTCGCTCTCTCTCCCCCCCCTCGCTCTCCCCCCTCTCTCTCTCCCTCGCTCTCTCCCCCCCTCGCTCTCTCTCCCCTCGCTCTCTCTCCCCCCTCGCCTCGCTCTCTCCCCCCTCGCTCTCTCCCCCCCTCGCTCTCTCTCTCCCCCCGCTCTCTCTCCCCCTCGCTCTCCTCTCTCCCCTCGCTCTCTTCCCCCCTCGCTCTCTCTCCCCCTCGCTCTCTCGTCCCCCCCTCGCTCTCTCTCCCCCCCTCTCTCCCCCCTCGCTCTCTCTCCCCCCCTCGCTCTCTCCCCCCTTCGCTCTCTCCCCCCCCCCCCCTCTCTCCCCCCTCGCTCTCCCCCCCCTCGCTCTCTCTCCCCCCTCGCTCTCTCCCCCCCTCGCTCTCCCCTCGTCCCCCCTCGCTCTCTCCCCCCCCCCTCGCTCTCTCCCCCCCTCGCTCTCTCTCCCCCCTCGCTCTCTCTCCCCCTCGCTCGCTCTCCATCCCCCTCCCTCTCTCTCTCCCCCCCTCTCTCTCCCACCTCGCCCCCTCGCTCTCTCTCCCCTCGCTCTCTCCCCCTCCTCGCTCCCCCCTCGCTCTCTCCCCCCTCTCTCCCCCTCTCTCTTCCCGCTCTCTCTCCCCCCCCGCCTCCCTCTCCCTCCCCGCTCCCCCGCTCTCTCCTCCCTCCCGCGCTCTCTCCCTCCCCCCTCCTCTCCCCCCCGCCTCCCCCCCCCTCGCTCCTCCCCTCGCTCTCTCCCCCCCGCTCTCCTCTCCCTCGCTCTCTCCCCCTCGCTCTCTCCTCTCTCCCCTCGCTCTCTCCCCCTCGCTCTCCCCCCCTCGCGCTCTCTCCCCGCGCTCTCCTCCGCGCTCTCCCGCCGCGCTCTCTCCCCGCTCTCTCCCCGCTCTCTCGCGCTCTCTCCCTCGCTCTCCCCTCCCCCTCTCTCCCCCTCGCTCTCCCCTCCCCTCCTCTCCCCCTCGCTCTCCCTCTCTCTCCTCTCTCCCCCTCTCCCCCCGCTCTCCTCTCTCCCCCTCTCTCTCTCCCTCTCTCCCCCTCTCTCCCTCCCTCTCCCTCTCCCTCTCTCTCCTCTCTCTCCTCTCTCTCGATCTCTCTTTTTCTTTGTCTCAATATCTTTCTTTCTTGATCTCGATCTCTCTCTTTTTCGATGCCACAGTCTGGCTTGCTAGTGAGCTGATAGTTGCGCGCCTATGGGAAATGGCTTCCTATGGTAGTGCACTAAGCAGAGGGGCACCCCAGAAGAGGAGGTTCAGGACTGCTCTGAGCAATACCATTGTACAAAACGGGTAAGTATAACATTATTATTTTTTTTTATATTAAGCTTTACAATTACTTTACTTGCTTGATAACTTTGTGACATACTAATTTCTGTTTAGCCCCAATATCTCTAGGAATTGGGGAGATGTGAAATAAAAGGGTTGGTTTGTAGTGTTTTCAAAAGTCTTGTCTCTTTTTCCAATTGCTCTGCGCTCATTCGCTCAAATTTATGTCTAAATGTCTTCAAAATAGCCCTAACAGATTTTCAACAGCAGTTCCCTAGAACTACTAGATTGTAAGCTCCAAGGAGCAGGGCCCTCCTATCCCTCTTGTATTGAACTGCATTGTTGCTGTATTGTCTCCCGTTATATTGTAAAGTGCTGAGCAAACTGTTGGCGCTATATAAAGCCTGTATAATAATAATAATAACTACCTGCAGCTAATTCAGGCAAGCATTTGCACCATCGTCAGTAACATTACAGACACGGCAAATTCGTATGGTTTTTTTTCCACTTTAAGAATCTGTCAACATGGCAGGGACATATTCTGCAAATAATTACTGCCAGTTTTTAGATTAAGAAACTGGCGGTAATTAAGACCAGCTCTGAGCCGATGCACTGAGGTATGCCAGTACACAAAGCAGGCAGTGCCATTGCTGGGAATCTGTCATAAATGCGACAGCTTCCTGCACAGTGCTGTATCCCTGGTCCCATATAGCTGTTGGCCAGGAGATTTTACCATCTAGTGTCTTTGAGCACCTTTATATTTTTAGAATGTTTTTCTTTTTTGTGATTATTTTTAAGACTACATTGCATGTAGAAAATGCTTTTTATGTTTCTCTTTTTCAGGAACCTTGTACCGAAATGCTGCCAAGTAAATGCGAAGGAGTAGCTCCAGAGGTGCTTGAAGAGAGGTAAGATAGTACACACATTTTGTTTCCCATCCTTGTTGTCTAAGCAGTGTAATGTCTACCACTGATAACAACCTGTACCAGCTGACCATCAAGCTAAAATACTGGCCCTTTTTACTATGAGACTGTTCTTTTCCCACACAGTATCTAGCAGGCACCTGGCTCTGGGCCACACACCATGTCTCTGGAGTGCTTTTCCTGGCAGCACAATCATTTTTCATGCTTTAGGTGCATTTCTTTTTACATAAACATGTTTCAAGAGCAAGCAATATTCTTGTCACAAGGGAGACAACTTGTTTGGAGAGTAGTTAGAGCTGTTAATGTAATCGTCTGAAAATTAGTATAAGCACTGCTACAGTGTAACTTTATTGGGGTATTAAGTGCTGCAGGTGAAATGCTGAATGTAGCGGAACACCAAATGACTCCGGTACGTCTGGATCATTTTCATCTATAATGTGTGCTCTTGAAATATACAACAAATGGTACTATTTATCGCCTGCATAGTTTTAGAAGCAAGTACATCCAGAGGGAAAACCAGTGCAGCTGAAATGTGCATAATAAAGCCCATGCGACACATTTACATCTCACAAACTTATTTAGTATACAGTACATGTATTTTACTATTCTGGATGTTTATACAGAGCTTACATTTTCTATAGAGCTTTCAAGCGTGTGTTGTCATCATTTGCATCTTTCAATGTCCCATTAAAATTGGCATTGTATTATCTCTAGTTCTGTAAAAGAGGCAAGTCAGCTCTGCATTCAACATGGGTAGAAGATGGTGGTTATATCACTATCTGATTATGGGAAGAAACCTGAGCCCTTTGGGGGGGAACAAGGAGGCCATAACAAATCTGTGAGGATAAGGCCATCCATGATCTTGAAATGAGAACCTAAAGCTGGGTACACACTAGACGCTTTTTTTTCATTCAACCCAGCAAGCTAACCGAAAAAAGAAAACAAAACAGAGATCACTCTGCTAACAGAAGCGATGTTAGTACAGCGATCTCCCTTGCTGTGCCTTTGTGTTCTGACATAGGGACAGCACCCCAACCAGAACACACTGATCAGTGCTAGCTGCCAGTGCTGATTGGATGCTGGTTTTCCAGAATGCCCATTCAACAGAAGCCAGCCATAAGACCAGCTTCTGTATAACAGACAGCTGTACACACAGGCCGAAAGTTGACCAGTTCTTGCCTAACCGATTTTCAGCCTGTGTGTACCCAGCTTAAGGCTGGCCATTGATGCCTTGTTTACTTTCAATCAGCCTAAGGGCTGATAAAAAAAAAACAAAACAAAACTGAAAGGATTCCCCCATCCACACTGACCAGGTAGATGGAGAAATCCTCCCCTCTGTGCCATGCTGGTAATACACTATTCATCGGATGCAGCCAGTTGGTTAAGTAAAATTTTCCAACAGTCCCATTCAACAGAATGGGAATGGCCATAGATGGATTGAAATTCGGTCAGTCCCTGCTGAACAGGTCACATTTTGGTCTATCTATATGCAGCTTTATTAAGGGTACCAGTACAGAGAAGTAATGATAATTGAGAGCTTGCCAGTTAAATCTGCAAAAGCATTGCAAATGTTTCTGAAATGCACATTCAAAAGCCTCCACAGTTTTGATGCATTTTAAGAATTCCTTTCAACTGTCTTGAACGAGAAAATGAATATTGAAGGAGCATTTATCTTCTTTATAGTTGCTCAGCACATATGTGTGAATAGTTGCTTTCAGTAAATAGTAAAATCTCTTTTCCTATGTCAGGTAACTTGAAAACACATTGATATATACAAGGCCTTAAAAACCTATAGACGATATGTTTATATTGAGTTTATTATAAATTGTTCCCAAAATCAAGACAACATCAGTATTCAAGTACATTGGTTACATTGCCTCTACATTACTTGGCCCTGATGTATTGTATGTATAATACAACAGCTGACATTTATTACATAATATTTCATCAAAATGGTACTATTATTGATGGTCTTCCTTGCTTTTGGTGTAATGATAAAATCAGGTTGCATTGCAGACAGGAAAAGGTAATTGAAAAGTGCAGTGTTCTGCTTTAAATGCATTAATGATCCATTCTGGCTCACAGAGTCTTGCATCGTGTCACCTGATGTGCTCCTGTCTCTGTTACTCTTACACGGTGTTTCTATTTATTTTCTTATTCAACAAGCGTGAGCTGGGAGGCGGAAGCAGCCTCTGTGGACTCGGTTTCACCACCTGGATATTTTATCATAAATCCTAGCTGTCTGCTAAGTGTTTGTTGTGTGGCTGGTCACAATAAATCTCACCGGTACACTTGAGCAGACTTGCTAAAAAGCTAGAGCAGGAAGCCTTGGCAATAACTTGTATATCTGTTAGGCCTACTGAAGAAATTGTATCTTTATCAGTTACATATATATATATATATATATATATATATAAAATCTGCACATACATATAATACGTGTGTGTATATCTCCTGTCACAGTATATAGATAGTATCTCTGTTGCAGGAAGGAGGCATGCTACGACACATAGAATAGTAGGCTTTTACTTAGCCTAAGTAACTCAATCTGATAGGTGTGTTCTCCCAGCTATCGCACAGCAGACAGTCATGACTGTTCACCCTCCACAGGGTTTTTAACCACCTCCCATCCAGCTGTTGTATATAAATGGCCAGACGGTGGCAGTGCAGGGTTGGGTGGCCGTTTATAAATGGCCTCCCCACCCCCTGCTTGTGCGCGCTCCCTGGAAGTGCGAAGCACCGCGATCCGGTGCCCGCTGTGTCCTCCGATCGTCGGATGGGACCTCTGTACAAGGTTCCGATCATGTGGTCACTGATTTGCCAATCAGTGATCACATGCAGAGTAGTAAGCAGGATGTCACTTGTGACATTATTGCTTACTATTTGTGAAATCTGTGAATGGTCACAGCTTGTCACATGGTACAAGGCTATGCACAACAGCCTTGTACCATGTGACAAGCTGTGACCAATCACAGCTCACTCAGTAGTTCTCAATGGCTTCAAGAATGCAGCTAAAGAGAAGGAGAAATGATTGCGTTTACATCCTTTATGGGTGTAAAAGCAATCGGTGTAAAAAAAAAAAAAAAAAAAATCTTCATCACCCTCCACAAGTAGTACAGTGTCACCATGGTGACACTGTACTGCTAGGTGACAGTATGTAAAAAAAATAAAATAAATAAAAAATATAAACATTTTTTTAAAAATGTAAAAACAATGTTTAAAAATGTATAATTTTTGGTTATAAACTAATTTGGGTAATTTGTTTTTTTTACTAAAAGTATAATGGAATAAATTTTGGCCAAGATTTATGATGAAATACTATTTATTTGCAAAATTTTATAAGAAAAACTTTTTTTCAAAATTTTTGGACTTTTTAATTTACATAGCAAAAAAAATAAAAATCCCAGTGGTGAATAAATACAACAAAATAAAGCTTTATCTGTCTAAAAAAAAAGCTAAAAAATTCATATGGGTACAGTGTTGCATGACCGCGCAATTATCATTCAAAGTGTGATAGCACTGAAAGCTGAAAATTGGCCTGGACAGGAAGGGGGTAAAAGTGTCTGGACTGGAAGTGGATTACAGTCCTTAGCAAAACCACTTCTTCCTGTGAGGCTTCAGAGCACTTTTATAATAAATCAGGTATTCTGGCAGGTGGACCAGAGTGGCCAGGCTACAGTCCAACCAAAACTCTTCTTTAGCTATTCTGTAGTGTGAACTCCAGGCCCAAAAGATGAAATTTATGACCAGCCTTTAGCTCCAGGCCATTTCTGGCACTTTTTGTTTGTATTTTAAAATCAGTATTTGTTGCTAGAAAAAATGTCTTAGAGCCCCCAGACATTATATATTTTTTTAAAGAAGTGGCCCTAGAGGATAAATTAGTGGTTTTTGCATTTTCTTTACTTCACAAGGTATTTGTGTAGCGTTTTTTCAAATGCAATTTGTGGGAAAAAATACACTTTTTTGAATTTAATTTGAAAAATTACCATAACCCAATTTTTTATGAATTATAAAAGATGATGTTACGCCAAGTAAATAGATACCAAACATGTTACACTTTAAAATTGTGCACGCGAATGCAACGGCAACAAACTGCATACATTTCATTAATAGGCAACGGTTTCAAAGCCTTTACAGGTTACCACTTTAGATTGGCAGAGGAGGTCTGGTGCTAGAATTACTGCCCATGATCTGACGATTATGGCAATACCTCATGTGGGGGACAATTGCTGCCTGCCTGCATGCATCAGTACGCCTTTGTGCGTGAGCACGGGGGCACTGTTAGTTTTTTTTTTTCTACACTGTCACTTTACATTTTTTTTTCTTTTCATCAGTTTTAGTGCTGTCACAAGGAACGTAAACATCCATTGTGACAGCAATAGACACGTGTCAGGTATTCTTATGGAAGGATCTGGGGTCTCCAAGGCCCCAAGCCCTTCCTCTGCACTTGAAAGCATTCAAAACACCTAGATTGGTGTTTTTGAATGCTTTCAGATTTTTTAAATTGGCGCAGAAAGTTTTCGCGTAAACTTTTCGTGATGTCAGGTCATCGCTCCGGTTTACAATAAAGAAGAGCCAATCAAAGCCAATTCCAGCTTTGTTCAGCTGCCTGGCCAGATCCTTGTGGGACAGGAGATCCCAAGAGAGCAGCAGGAGGAGAGGGGCATCCCCTCCCGGTGCTAGTACAAACAATGGAGTGGATAGTAGCTGCTCCAAATACTTGTACTAGAGAGCTGACCATTGGCTCTAAAAAGCAGTACTAGGGTGATGCCCGCAGCTGCAGGCATCTCTCCGGTACAACCATGGAAAGTCTAGTGACATACGGGTATGTTGCTGGTCCGGAAGTGGTTGGATAAATTCACATTTAAAAGAAAAAAAGAAATGCAAAGCCTGGAAAGCATTGCACCCAGTGATCAGCAGTGATCCATGCTCCTACGGACTGACAGTATAAGCTGTCTGCCTGTACATCGTATGGCCAGGCAGTT